TTCACAATCAACCACGTCATTCGTTTGCACGTCTTATCCCAATCTAATTAATTAATCATCTTTTGCGCACACAGCGACTTAACGATCTATCCTATCAAGCTAAAACACTTTTTGCTCTTATGATCTAAAAAAACCACAGTCATGGTCATAGATTCTAAAAGTTCACAGTCCCAGTCAAGTTACATATAAGAAATATTACCGCAGTCATCCTTCAGTATCACAGTGAAAACATCAACGATCCTCACTATAGTTGAAGATGTGGTGTGGAGGAATTAATATACTGAGTACTTTTGATTTTGGTAACATACCAAAGGTATGTAAAAAGCGAAAACCCAAAGGGTTCTCTCAAATTCAATGGGTAAAATTAGTCAAGTGTAAATGTTTGTCAGTCAAGTGTAAATGTTTGACCAGTTTTACTTTCTGTGATAAATGCAGAGATTACGACAGTAAGAAGAATGAGAATTTTTGGACTTAACGTTCAGAACTGATATAGAAAGTAGCAATTGTTCGCAATAACTGCACTGACTATTTCAAGAATGCTGAATAATTAATTATATGTTCTCTGCAACATTTTATGTTGACATTATCAAAAAATTGACTTCAATTCATATTTATATCTTCGAATGTAAAGAACTTTTGATGATTTCAGGTAGTCGTAATGATTTGAAAGAAAAATTAGCATTATTTTTTCGTGACTTGCCTATAAAAATTGTAATCTAATCACGTACAAATTAAATCTCAAATCAATCTCTGATGCTGAAAGGAATTTTACAAAGAATAAACTCCCCCGCAATTTCCAACTGCATAAACATGGTCCGGAACTAAGAACGTCATCGTTTCTCGCTAAGAGCACCAAGCATTCTCACGTTGTCAATTTCCGAATCAATGACTCAACAAGCTTCATCTGTGCCTCTATAAGTCATTTTGGCAAAACGTTCCTTCCCTCACTGTGCGTAACGCAGTTCTTCCACAAGTTACGTATGTTCCTGGAATCTTTTTAATATATTTAGAATTAATGTGTCTTTGATGTTGTGCAATGAGAGATTCAATTTACAATTGATTTCAGTCATGGTTTCCTTTTGCGAAGCATGCGATTATTTTATCAATGTCCATTTTCCCATCATTCAAACTTTCATTACCACAAAACTTGATGCGAGTATTTCCGGACTATTTCCTTTATTTCAGAATGCCGTTTGATTCGAACGGTATGAATGTTTATAGTTTGATGAAATGTTTATTAGATGTGGTTTGATTACTTTGTTATTGTGATGTCGGAATTTATCTGAAATTGAACGAAGGAGTTAGAATTTTATTGGTAATGTTTGAATGATCGTATACAATTATTCGAAGTTGGTACAAGACTTTTCGGCCAGTCAACGGCTGCACTTGTTCTATGGCTTGGTCTCTGTTCCCTTTCTGCATATTCTTTTATTACGTCTCACTACCTTACGGCATTGAATTCATTAATTTTTCATTTGATCAGCTGTGGTAGTAAGCAACATCGACCTTTTGTAGTACTGTTTTTGTTAGCAACTATTTTTTAAAGCCATCTTTAACGATTTCAATGTTGATAGATATAAAAGTGGACTATCGATGCCTCCAATACTGCTTAATTGAACAGGTCAGCAATGGTGCAGCCAGGATCTTTCATGGGGAGGGGGATGCAAATTCATTTGATAAAAAATAGCCTTTTTTCCTTCTTATTTCTCCCATTTCCATTTACTTTCTTCTCACTTTTCTTTCTCTTCCCTTCATCTTTCCCTGTTTTCTTCCACCTTTCAGGGGGTGAAAGGGAATCGTACCCTTTGCCCTTCTTTCCTTAAGTACGCCACTGCAAATCGATTTACCTTCTCAGGTTTAAATTCGGATTCGGATTAGTCGAGGTTTTTAAAGCCTTTTATCTTATATTAATTTGCTTTTTAATCACAATTTTATCTGTATCTTACTTTTTACTTGCTGTGCGACTCACCGTAGATGGAGACCGTTAGGGATGAGGTGATAAGTTGATGCAGTAATGATGGTAAGCGAATGAAAAATTGGTTAAGCAGAATTTAATGGAATTCCACGCGAATTTATCGGTGAAAACCCCTGTTAGTAGAAACCGGCCATCGAAATTGGGTATTTACCAAAATCGAAACTCAGTAGGTACCTCCGCTTCGAAGGTTGTCTGTATGCTTACGATAACTGCAGTGATCCACAAACATTTGCACAAACATTGACGGCTGTTCCATCCAACTACTGTTTCGATCACTCGCATTTCCGTGAACACGCACACTTGGAAACATATGGTAGTAATGTTCAATGCGGCATAATTCATTCGCATTGAACAGTTATTTCCATGAAAAATCTTCTCTTCTCATTGTGTCCCTCGTTAGCTTGTTGACAAATTTCTCATCTCTTACAAAATCTGTACTAAATCTTTCGCCGCTTAAAATCAATTGACATGTGCGGTAGTGGTTACAAAGGGACATTCCTAACTAGAATTGACTAAAAATTCCTCTTCTTTTTGTGTACTAAAAATATTATGGGAACTTTTTGCTTTCCCATGCCAGATTTGGACGATAATCATTCCATTTCATCATTTTCTCTTCGCACAACTCTCGTTGTAAATGGATCAAAAGAATGAATGGCGAGTGCGACGTTGTTGATGAAAGCCGACGAAACGAACAGGCGAGAAATTGTGCTCAATTAACCGTGAAAAATTCTCGTCGTTTATGAGTCACTTTTCATTTCCTTCCAGTATTTTTTTGAGCAGAGAGAAGGGTCCGTTTTTTTTAAAAATTCATTTTCAATGAGATATACCCTCTACCCCATTCCCCCTCGCCCTGCATAATGGTAAAATGAAGCCATCATTCAACGAAAATATATCATGAAAGTGCATCCTCTTGTTTGTGTTTGTGTTTGCATAATGCGCATTCATTATGAATTTCAATGGATCAGACAGTCATGTGATGTAATAATTATTGGAATCGAACATTCGTGTTTGTCTGAACATTCGGTGAATTGAATATTTATGTTATGTATTCATTTCATCGTTCGCCATGGAATTTATTCACAGCACCTTTTCATGAAAGATTTGTGCTTGCTGTTCTGAATGTGTTCAATCGCTTTGTGCGGCATGTAATCAAGCATTGGATTTTATTAATATAATAATAATAATAATCCTATTTTCGGTTCAATAATGAGCAAAGCACATGATCATCTTGACGAGAATATGAACTCCACCGCTATTCAAACTCATTTTCTTTCTATGTGGAGTAAAATTTCTTCGATGATCACCAATCATGAACCTATATTGGTGAACTGGCGTGAATTTGAAAACTGCTACCGCAAAACAATCAAAACTTGCTCTGAAGGAGATCGAAAATTGCTTTCTGAGCTATACAAGCTCATTGAAAAGGTACATTGATTGATTGGTCGTTTATTTATGATTATTCATCAGTTCTGAGCACACGGGTCTGTTCTCTTCTGTTTTTTATTAAGGCTGATTTTAAGGAAGTTATTGAGAAGTATCCTGACTTAACGAATGATTCGGGTCTTGGATGCTCAGCAACAACGCCAACATCATCTATTCAACAGTCATCTGCACACCTGCAATTGTTGCATCGCATTCAATTAAGGAACTCGACTCGTATAATGTCTTTCAATAGAAGTCTTTCTCGCATCAGAGAGTGCAACAGCAGTCGTTCTGTATCGTCACCATGTGATTCTAGCTTTTCTCGAGCAAGCACGCCTACAGTAACTACCAAAATAACACAGAATGTCTGCAACAATGAAGTGCCTCATGGAACGAATTGGTTTGATAAGTCTACCAAATTAATTATTTACATCTTTTCGGTATTCTTAATTTTATCCTTATTCTCCCACCCACCTTTTCTGCTTCCTAGATTTGTTACGTCTATATCGTATAAGAATCCACCTCCCATTTAAAAATATTCTGTCGAATTATTAGAGGTTTTTAAAACCTCATTTTTCTATTTCTTCATCTATCATTTCGACGTTATCTCGTTATCAATTGAGTACGCCATTTTGCTACTACATTGCCAGTGAAATGTTTATAAACGCATTAAAAACCAACTCAAAGTGAATGAATATTACGTTTGTGTGCTAATTTAGTACCATCTGATGCATCCTCAGAAGTGAATTTACCTCGTGTAGGATTATTCTTCGTTTTTCATTTGAATATCTTTGTGCAGAGGTGCGATCGAGATACAAAACTGGGCAGTTATTGCATGTAAAAACATCGTTGAACGTTAATATTTTGATGCATTCACTGCATCATGAAAGCATCGATTGAGTGTTGCTCAATATGGGCAGTACCATCCACCAATGAATGAAAAGTGCATTCGGAGGGGGCGATTTTGGCGAAATAGTAAATTTCTTGAAATTATTACAGTTTCCGGTTTGAAACTGGTCATTAAATGTTCTTGTCTTCGGGAGAAGACAATTTCATTTGACCTGAGAAGGCGATTGCCTTTTAAAGGTTGAGAATTTCTACATCAGTGAACCTCGATCACACCATATCTCTAAATTGCCAGTGTTTTTAAATCGTGCAATGTAACATTCTGCAATGATATGAACTGTGCAATCATTCGCCTTATTCACGCGATGAATTTTTATTCTGAATCAGGTCTCTGTTTGTGTTTGTTTAGGCTTTAATTGATTTCAATCGTTATGTTTCGTGTTCTGTTCAATCATATCTGTCAATCTCCTTTTCGTATCCATTTTTTCGAATTGTTTCTTCATCATTATTTCGCTCTGCTGCATATTGAGGACTTTGTATATATTTCGATGATAAGTGTATGCGTTTGGAAGGTTGCATTGTAAATTAGTTTTAATTTCTTTGATTAGCGAAGCGGATGTTTAGTTGCTTTTGTAGGTTTTGAGAGAAACTGAGCACTGCAGCTTTCATTACAAAACAAGCAGACTATCCAAGGAAATTATCTCGGCTATTGATAGCCAACTATCACCAGTAGTCCAGATAATTTTTACATCACTGTTCTCACTTTAAACTGTTTCCAAACAAAAATCCTCAATTTACGGAAGTGAATTAAGTCAGTTATCCACGAAGTTCACTGATAACTCACCACCAGTTGTGCGATCGACAATAACTGATAGCAGTTAGTGAATATGTGAAGCTGTTTATGTGTGAAAGTTATTCTGTTCGTTTTTTTTTTCTTATTGGGTGCTTACACTCATTCATATAGATAATTGTGTGTTGTGTTATGTGATCGTATACCGAGTGAAGTTTTTAAGTTTTATTCTTTGATAATCATCTAAGATGAAAGATGTCTGATGAATGAACATTGTGGTTAAATTTGGTTTTCGATAAAAACATTCGACAAGAGTTTTGTTTTTGAACTCACTTTGCGCACGAATATGAGTTGAAATAATGAAGAAGTTAGTGCAGAGCGGGATAAAATTCCGCCTCAATTTCAACATTCGATTCTTACGAAGAGTTCGATACTACACGTTTGATGTGATTTCATTAATTATCATTTTGATTTGGAAGAGTCCAACTGGTATTCGTTTAGTCATGCTTGCATCTACTACACGTGAGTTTGTATTTATTCCATGCCAAAAAATACAAGAAATCATTCGTTTCATATTTGCTCAACCATTATATCTTACCGTTGTTGTTGTAAAAGAAAAAGGCATTTCATAGATTCTAGGTGGGAAAATAAAATAACTAAACAAAAAAAATCTTCATACATAAAGAATGTCGGGCACTGCAGATCGATGTCAATAAAAGCATTGGTTGTGCTGAGAATATGGTGTAATAATCAAATGATCGTTGTTTTTCTGCCTCTACATTGTACATTAATTACTTAAGCGATCGAGTCTTAGAAATTTTAATATCTAAGAATTATTCCATGGAAAATACTTCAACACTAAAGATCGAGAAAACTTGAGATGAAATCAGCAATGATACTAATAATGATCTCGGGTATTCGCTCGGAATAAACATAAAATACTCTCAGTTACTTCTGCTTTCAACAAATATTTACATGACAGTCGAATTGCGGTGATTGATATTATAATATTTTATAGAACAACAATCATTTAGAAATAAAAACAAAATTCGTATCATTCTGAAGGAGTGTATGAAGTTTCAGTGGTGATATTGTGTAGATAACTGCAAGATCCTCTAATGACCGCGAACCATCACATAATTTGGCTATCCTCAAACATTATATTTGTTCATTTTAACAAGTTATGAATAGCAAATGACGAGAAACGAGGACAATGTGATAAATAAGGTAAACATATGTGAATGAAAAATCAGTTCAGAACTAAAATCGCCGAGTTAGTGTTGGCGAATGATATGGATTCGAATACACGAAAAACGATCAATAATTTCTCTTCGCAATGGTCGAAATTCATTCAAATGAAACCTTCTGTTATCGCCTTGTCTCAACGCCACAGGATAGATGCTAAGCTTTCGAACAAACCCGTGAAACACACCGAACTGAACGAATCGTCTTTCGTCTACATTATATTGCCGAGGTGACTGACGTTCACACCATTCCTTCATTGTGATACCTATCTATAATAATCTAATCGTCTGATTCAGTGGGCAAACTCTACGCCATATTAACCAAGGAACAGTGCTCTACTAACCCGTAAACTAGTGTAAAGTCTAAAGACGTCTGAGAAAAGTGGTTTCGGAGTGACTGCATGTCCTTCTTTATTGCGTGGTCCAACGAACTCCAAACATTCCTGAATACTATCATCTCTGATTTGTACTCTCAAAGCATTCAATCATGCAACGAAAATTGATGAAATGATATCGTCAATTAAAATTTCCTGCAACAACCCCAAAATCATGATACGAATAATTGAACGGATCCGCAAAGAACTTCATTAAACCGTCTGTTTGAAATAATCAAAACTTGAATTTCTCGCATAAACACACCTTATTAATTTCAACTAAACGAAAATCAAATGGAAAAAATCTAAGAATTGAAATGATGTTCAGTGTATTACAAGCAATGAACCTGAATGGCATCTGCGTTTAAGTAGAACTGATGTAATTGTTCTTTGGCCACATAACTATTCGAATACATAAAAAGCGGTAACAGAGTAACGCATCCATAAAAATGTAAATTACGAACACATCTCGCCACTAAATCTGAGTCTATCTGAACCAACAGAGCGATATCTTTTATACAACGAACACCATCAATTTTCGGACAGATCTGAAAGTTGAATGAAAAAAATAACTTAAAATCCATCCCATAGTGGCAGTAATGATATATTCAATAAAAGAAAACGGAAGAAGCTTCATGTGAAACCTTCAATCTCACTGTCTTTATGCACCTCATTGATAAACAAATTATTAATGCAAACTCTGGACTTTATCGACGGTGAGCTGAATCCTTTCATATAACTCATCCGCTTTTGCAAACATCTCTTCATTAATAAAAAAGGTTCTATGAACATTACAGTTTGGTAGAGATTTAAAATAATTAAGTTAATAATGAATCCGTGCTATGGATGGCAACATATCAGGAGAAAATACCCAAAATTGAAACATGAGAAAAGAGTGAAAATAACCTTCTGAGAGAGGACATCCATTTTTGGTAGGTGATCAGGCGTCTTAGGAGGTGGTACACGTGTGAACATTGGTACCATGTAAGGACTTACCTTAAAATCACTCAAATTCAGTTATGTTTTGAGGACTCCCTTCGAACCAATTGCAACATTTACAAAAAACTTCAGAGGACACAGTCATTAAGATCAGTGAACACTTATCAATAGTGAAGAGCGCTTGACGGATCTCTATCATGCACAAAATAAAAACGACTCATGTACTTCAAAATGAAACGATCAACATTCGTTTCAACGAAAGCTGATAACAAGATAACGCACTGAACAATATTATCCCCAACAATCATAAGTCATTCATATCAGACATTTATATTCAAATTCAACGAAAATCTATCGATAATCAAAACAAATTACGAACTTTCGGTGGTTCGATTCCATGAAATGATGGACACAACTTCAAATAAATTGTGGCACCATCGGTGACCGGGATTTTGCATTCACCTTAAAACTGACGCAAATTTTCATTACAAATACTGGAAAACAGAACGCATTCCAAAGGCTCAAAAATTATTGTATTAACTCACAATCAGACAGAACAAATAACAAACCAACCTTGTGTGTTAAGGCCGTCGAAGATGTTTTGCATCAACTGCGGCATTCTGTGCTTACATTTCGACAAAAATTGATTTTCCTAAAATTTAAATTCAATAATCAAACTTCATTGATTTATAGAATCTCCACATAAACCATTAAAAAAAATTACAAATTAAATCCAATTCGCTCAATCGCCATTGGATGATTAGTAATCGCATAACGCTTCCCTTTGGCCGGTTTTTTTTTTTCGAAAAAGCAAAGAAATTTTGAAATGAACAATGCGCGTTTATTATACGGGTGTATACCAAGAGATCGTATCCATCAAATACAAAAGACTAAACTCACTGAAATAAACCATCAAATGAATACACATTGGGCTGACATTCAAAAAAAGGCACCGTTTCAAGTTGTGTCAAATACGCAGCACACTTCTGTACCATTGGCTCATACAGGCAGTCAACCTTACTGCTTTTATCGACCACGAAACATAAATTAAATATGTATCGTCCGCGTGGATAAATGTCAGCTTCTGAAATTGATCAACGTCTTTCACCAACTATTTGAATTGGATTATTGTTCTGATTGGGAACTTGCTAAACAACTAGAATAACTAAAGAGAAGCGAGTTCGCATCTAGCATACAAAAATGTACTGAACAACTCATTAGTTGAATTTAGTTGAATAATCACAAAACTCCGAATAATTTCACATTCCAAACGTCTTTCACCAACTGTTGATACGATAAAGAGCTAAGGAGGCGAACCAATTCCGACCGGATGTCCCATCACTTTGTAAATCTTTCCATCCGTATTTTCAATATGATTCACTTTAATGAGTCGTTGAAATAATTCAGATTTCGGGATTATTGCACTAGAGAACGTATCGAATTTCTTCGCATCAAATATCACTTCTGGCACCTGGTAATAATAATAATAACAAAACGATAATAGTAAAAGTAAGAGTAACAATTATCATCTCAAGAGTTATTATTTCTTTCCACCCGATAATTTCAAGTGAATCCGCAATCTCAATGAAGCGATCATCAGTGAATTGCGATTCTTTCAATTCAAATTTGCTTCTCGTACTGAATATTTTCGCTAATTTGTTCAAGGGGATACTGCTTCACGAACTGTGGAAAAGGGAAGAATCAGAATAGTAATAAAATGAACAGACCTGAAATCTTATAACTGGTCCTTTTTCGGCATCAAATTCAGCAAAGAAGATTGCCTTCAGCTTCGGCATATCAGCCGGATTCGGAAAGAAACTCGTGAGAGCGAAAGGCATTTGGAATGAAGTCATCGGCAACGAAGGCAATCCGATCAGAGACTGGAATCAACAACACTCATTCAATTCAGTTCGATCGCTCGGAAACTATTATAATCATTCGAGGAATTCAATTTCGAATCAAACTTCTCCAGTTAATCCAATGAATGATCTGATTAATTGAAAAAAGTTCAAAACGAGCATTCACAGTTACAAATTTATAATTAAATTTGATTTCGGATGTAAATTCTTAAATTAAATTACGAACGACATTTATCGTTAGATTATAGTTAAAAGAAATTTCGGATTTGAATATCTATTTTCGATGTATATTCCAGATATTATTCAACTTGTTATATTGCAGTTCAAAAGAAAATTTGGTTCACCGAACAATTTAAATGCAAAAACAAAACGAGCAACTAAAAAGACACCCTCAAGCAGTTTTCGTTGCTTTCCTCCTCTTGTGCCTCTTGAATCGATTACCGTACTCAACGAATGCAATAATCGTCCCGATCAATGCACCGAGAATCGCACCAAATACACACGGCAACGGCCAACGCTGCAGAAGTGCAATGAAACCGTCACACGGTAAATGACTGCTAATACAACTCCTCAGAATCACTTTCATGTAGCGTTGCTAACGGCACACGGCCGAATGCCACAATGAATCGTCGAAACTTTAGGCATTTGATGATCTACCGAATGCCCAGTCAGTTATTCCATTCTATGCATGCTTCCAGAAAACCTCAGCCATTTGCCGAAATGCAGAATTGTGAGAAAAAAAAAAGCAAAATGATAGACGAATGGCTAAAAAGAAGAAACCTGCCACCACCTATCCCAATCCAAAGGTATCACAAAGGCACCCAACCAGCTGCCAAATAGTCCACCGAATGAAAGTCGATGTGCAATCAATTGATTTAGAGTTGACGGCCTACCGAAATGGAATCATTCAAAAGTATTTGCGTGAACCTAATTCCGCTTTTATCAATTGAATGAAGTCATTTTAAATGAAAATTTAAAAACAAATGAATCATTCGTAAAGCAACCGTAATCAGTTCAACATTTCTTACATCCCTACTATAAAATTACAAGATCAGCCCTCGTGTTTTCAAATTTACCGCTCCTTATAAAGTGCACAGTTCGAATCCTAACAACACTGAATATTGAAAATAAAACAAAAGAATTCACAAAATGTTACTTGTTCTCGAAGACAATAACGTCGAATTGTTCGTAACTTTTGATAACAATTGAAAGCGGCAACACACAAATTAAAGAAAGCACAATTGAGAATATAAAAGTGGCTGTATAGTGACTGAAAATGTGAATTCATTGGCAAAGATTCTTTGTTAGATGCAATTTATGGTGTACACATTGAAAAATTTAATACACAATTGACGAATGTCGAAAGTGAGCGAGCTTCTTTACGTTTTCCTTTTTTTTGTACAAAAGCGAGAACGCGAATGAGTGATGCAACTATCAACGCCGTCACGTTTCTCAGAGCTTATTTCAAACTCCGCTAAATTATATCCTTAACACGTTCTTATCATATTCCTATCATAATATTATCCGTTACAATATATTCTGTTGCATTTATTGAATAATTTGAATTTGAATAATAATAAAATTGTTGAATAATCAATAATAATAACTGTTAATAAAAAAACTGCAAGGGTGTAAAATGAATAATTAATTATAATAATTGATTTTATACATTAAAGAAGGCAAGGACGGAGTTCAACGGTTGAGGAACCCTGCATTAGAACGAAGGATATTCACACTTCTTACAACAGGATACTTTTTCATTTTCAATTCAGGCTTTTATTTACGAACAATCGATTTGATTATTCATATTCATTAGTCGATGGACAGAACTATAACCTTAAGCAAATGAAGAATAAATAATTCCGGAAAAACGACGAAACAAACCTTAAAAATGGGGCACCAAATAGAACGGCAATCACATAAAAGCACGGAATAGCGGTCAGAGTTGAGAGAAATACACGCTTGAACATTAAATTAGTCTATTCCTCGTTTAAAATCACGAACTTCATTCAATTTGTTATCTGTAGAAGAATTGAATCTTGAAATAACTGCAGTTGATATAATCAAACAATCATCTATGGAAAACAATTCTCATCATACGAATTTCGCAATTATTGGATACTAATACTATGAGTGAATTATTTCAATTCAAACTGTACTTCTGAGTCTAAAGTCAAATTCTGAAAACTTAATCAGTGCTATTAAAGCCAGAAATTTAATTTCTCCCGATTCTATTGGAGTTGAATGATGATTGTCTTGAAGTATCGTATAGAATGATGTAACGTTTATCGTTCAATTAAACGGGTCACAATCGAATCAGTGTAAATATTTATACAATAAAAGTAATCATCAACAATAACAACAACAAAAATGCACAATCCAACAAACAATCGCACAATCACTTAATATGAATATGACTGCGAAAAAATAAAATAGAATATCTTCTACATAACAACAAACATGAACACTGATCAACAAAAATATCAACAATTAACTAGACGTTTGGAGTACAATTTTGACAAATCACTAATTAACTAGATAAATTTTGATGAAGATAACCACCATAACGCTTACTTAATGAAAAATCACGTTATTTCACCTTAAAACTGATTCCACTTCCAAAACTATTGAACAAATACGCTCTTGGCTGTGAAACATTTCAGCTAGAAATTCCTTAAACAATGATATTTACCAAAATGGAGAATGGAATTTGGAACAGAAGTTTTTTAGTTACGGTAACACAACATAACAATCAAACATAGACATTCTTGTCATATCAAAATAAGAATAACGTTTTGAAAATGCAAAACGATGAGATTACCCTCCACAACAGTTGTTTCATAGAATCTATGAATGTTGAGAACAGTGAGAAAATCTTTCGACTATACTCGTTTGCATTCAAACATTCACATGAATTTCGCTATATGGAGCCGAGAAATCCACAAAAAAATGATCAAAAATGATCCTAATGCTTTGAGTGTGGGGAATGTCCTCGGATTTTCATTAAATTCAGCAAAAAAAGAAGACTTCTACAAATGGTCAAAACTTTGCATATTTAATTGGTCACATTCATGTAATGATACCAGACATTTCACGTTAGTATTAATAAACATATTTCCTCTGCAACGTTCTGTAACTACAACTTTAAATCAAATTCAGGTGTTTCAAAAATGGTTAATTTGGGTTTGACGCTCGGTGGTTTACCGTGGTTATAAAGCACCTTAAACAAGCCAGTACCGATGGTCATTGGAGTGCCCATAATGATACACTCACTAACGCCAACTATCTTGTCCTCCTGTTGGAAGAATGCCGCTTCATAGAGGTGATCAGTAGTTTTTTCGAAAGAAGCCAATAACAGAACTGATTCTTTCATTTTCACTAAGCCATTCCGAGTTATGCCCAAAACTTCGCCACTGAAATTATTTTGATTCATTTATAGTTTGTTTTATTTTCATCCATTTCGCATTCGTACAAGAAAAAAGAATGTTGAGAGGCATGTATGATTTAAACTAATTTTTAAAATGCATCCAAAGCGTTCGTATGACGTAATAATCACACATGAAAAGAATGAAACAGAGCAGCACTATACAACAGTGAATCGAACTAAACGCATCAAAATATAACCAAATATTCTGCCTTCAACTTTTCCATTAATATTAATCGGCTGATTTACAATCGTAACATCAGTTTATTGTACGATGTAGATTGTCAACAAAATGCATCAAATATGGTTAATAAATTTACAAATCCTCATTGAAGAGAACAAAAAAGAACAGGGAATGAATCAAAGAAAAAAAAGAACAAAATAGTTTGAGAATTATAAATAAATTATAAACCGAAAACGTACCGATATGTCATAAGATCAGCGAGTAACATAACATGTCGTTGATCAAGACCAATACCGTGAGATTCCATCGTTGAAAGAATCTCAGAGATTATCGACGTTCTTGCTGCTTCAATTCCAAGCACCTGAACGATCTCGATATACCGAAACGCGATTATCACTTGATATTAGTAAGATTATTACTTGATGTCAAGTAATTGTTTTTCTTTTAATAAATACTGAAATGTAGTGTTCAATCAGATCACACCAAAAACAGCACTATTCCTCAGCAACAAACGAACTGTATTTAATGAACACAATAAGAATGAACCTCAGCAACAGTCAACGCATTATTGAAATAAGTGCGTCGACCATCGACACCCATTGTCGCCATAACTGCTCGATAATCAGTGCCTTCAACAAGCAGTTTATATGAATCACCCTTCTTTTCATCCGCGGTTATAACACATCTCACAACACCGGGTAAGCCTGAAATTATCATCCTTTAATCACTCCTTATACTGGAAGATCAGGCGCTTCATAGATAGCATCAAGAAGGTAATCAAACGAAGATAAGCACCTTTCACGACAACATTCGTAAGATTATATTTCAGATATTGAATAGCCATCATTTTCGAGCATTTTGCTAGTTCTGGAGGTCGAATCGCCAATATTGTCTTACCGATCATACGGATCTAAAATTCAAAAGTCATTTTATCAAATCCAAATAGGCTTCTAGAAGAAGCAAAGCTTCATAAAAATTATTCTAATATCAAGTCCCTCTGAGAACTTGTCGCAATATTCAACGAACGGAATTCCACCACTTTCGATTCGTAATTTCAACATATCCATTAAAACATTCATAATGAACTGACAAATAACAGAAATGAGTTTGGTATACACAGATTGGAAATAAATAAGAATGCAACAAATTCGTATTCGAGCACTGAAAACAAAAATAAGAGAACATGAAAGGCATTTGTGAGAAAATCACAGAACGAAGAATCAAACAACACGATTTCGAGCGCAACGCAATAATAATCGCCACCTGATTGAGTTTAACAGGCACGGGAAGTTTTGTGGTGCAAATGCAATGTGCAATAGATGCCATTGTGATCTCTAATTGCAACAAACGCACTCGTTTCGCATTTATTTTCACGAGAACAAAGCAATCGTGAGGCAAATAAACCTCCTCAATGAATTCGCAAATTTCCCCTGAAATACTTGATACACTGATAAAAGTATACAAATGAAATGAGTCAGTCAGAAAACCACATATGAAGCATTTAAACAATTTCAAAGCAACACAGGGTTGAGTCGATAATCCCCATGGGTATATATTATATGAATAAGAACGGTGGAACGCTCACTAATAGATCAACAACAGAATAATGAAGAACGTTCATTCTTTTGACTTCATTTCTTTGCGAACAGGTTCAAAAATCCTTCTGGTAAGTTATACGAATGAAAAATAACTAAATGATAGGAAGTGGACTAATAATGAACCTAAAGTTGTCTTTTCGATTCTTGCTTTAACTCGTCTTGCTAAATTTTCATCCTTTTCATCACTTAATGATGCCGTAATAATCGGCGTTGATATCAGCTTCACACCGTTGATTATCTCTTTGATACGAGGGACACCCTTCAAGTTCGTATTCGTTATATGTTACACGGAAATAGAATTTTTTTTCAAATAAATTTCGAAAAATAGATATTCTGTCAAACTGAAGCATCAAGAAATCGAAACAAATTCAACCACTAACAAGACAAATGCTAACCTGAGTAATATTCATCGAAGCCACACCAGCAAAGTGGAACGTTTTTAGTGTCATTTGTGTGGATGGCTCGCCTTAAAAACAAAACTTTATATTGATAAAAACGGAATGAAATTATCAATGATAAAGTAATAAACGATGAAATGAACAACGAAGGGACTATTGAACCATTCGTTAACTGTAGAGAACAATGGCAACAAAAAGGTACCAATACTAGTGGCCGCAATCGCGCCGACCGCAGTGCCCGGTTCAGTGACGGATCGTTTCAGTTTATGATTACACAGTTCAATGAACGCAACTGCCTGAGAATGCGACAAACAATGCGATCGAATTTGCATTTGACGGTAATTCCAATTCGATTTGCATTTCGGACACTTCAAGCACTGCGCACGACTGGAATACATTTCACCTCCCATTATCGTGATTGATATCAAAAATAATAATAAAAAGAACCACATCCATATCAAATGATCGCGTTCATTCTTTTCTCGAAGATAATACTGCGAAACATTTATTTCTAACGATTCACTACTAGAATAATTATTAGTTTTGCAACAAGATTTGGAATCTGATAATAAGAATGAGGAAGACAAAGACAAATAAAATAAAGATGGCGAACACAACGAATTATTTCATAAGAAAACCTACGATGCGTTTTGATGTTGTTCGCATGTTTTCGGTAGGGTGTAGTACTTATGCGTGCTGGCAATGTAATCCAACATGAACGTTTCGAGTTGTTCACGAAAACGCGCATGATCATTGCCCAATTTACTCTTTATTGTTGTTGTTATAAGCAGTCGCATCTCTTCGGTCTCCAACTCCGAACCCTCTTCCCAAATGTGCCTTCAAAGGATATACTATTAACCATTTTTATCTTACCAAACGAACGACAAACGCATCACATTTATCAATCACTTCTAAACATTCAACACTGACGAGAAAAATTCGACTTGTTGAACGTTCAGCTTTTTAAATGTCGAAATACACTAGCCGCCTTCTATAATGAATGTTATAGACAACAAAACCATCGAAAACCAATTCAAAATTTCAGTTGATTAATGGATCACGCAGACAATGAGCAATGAGTGATGGACTGATGATGAGTTCACTGAAAAGAAATAAAGGAAAACGACAGATGAAACCAACGGCGTTGTATTTCGGATGTGCTCAAGAATGTGCTTGAAATCAACAACGTTTCCGTCCTTCGCTTCCATTAACGCCGGATCGAGACCATCTTCACCGAACGTAAACTCAATTATATCGCCAGCTGACGAACGAACGGTTCCATCATAATGTACACACAGATCCTACCATTCAAACAAATCACATCATTACGACTGATCCATACTAATGCAGTTTACCAAATTATTCAGTGCAACACTCTTTAAACGTTTTTCCCAATTCAATTCCCGGTAATCGTGCCATTTTTTTAAACGATGCTCTGGCAAGCACAACTGAACTATCATTGATGAACTGCAACGACAATATTCCATTACTTCCTGTCATCGATTTCAATTCAGCTGGTATGGTCCGAAATTATTTGGTAACTTTTGTAAATTGAATGCGAGAGAAATGAATGAGAGTTATAGGTGCACATCCATAAGAAGAACACATTTACAAGTTCATAAGCACAACTAATGAAGTGATTCACCTCAAGACATTTCACCAATCTTCTTTGCATATAACCAGTTTCTGCAGTTTTCACCGCAGTATCAACCAAACCTTCTCTGCCAGCCATTGTATGGAAAAAGAATTCTGTTGGGGTAAGACCTGAATAGAAACTATTCTCGACGAAACCCTTCGCTGCCGGAGTTTTCTCGCTTCGTTCAAAATGCGGTAATGATCGATCCTTCAAATAAACGTTTCATTTATATTCATCACTCAACACAAATCAACAATTTCATTTGAAGGAATGTAATCTGTTGAGAATCTCATCTTAAGAACGTTTCTTCGAAATTCAAGACAAGAATGAAGGTAAAATTTGTGACAGTAAATGAATAACCTCGAATCCATCCGGCGGTCTATGGCCAGATATAGCTTGTTGTCCAACACAAGCAATCATTTGTGAGATATTAATAAACGAACCTTTGGAACCACAAACAGCCATCGTTAGCGGTGCGTTGTGTCTAAAAAAATGAACAAATCTCGAAACAAAGTCACCTGAAACAAATCTCGGCACAGTAATCAACACACTCTGGGAAAGACTTTCAACTGTTTTAATTATACGAGCAAACAATTCAATGATCGCAGTAACCTTGAAAGATTGCGAAGACATGCTTGTCCAGCATGATCACGGATAGCAGAGAGTTCTTTGAGAATGAGTGCTTCCAGTGTTTCGTGCTCACTACAGCCAGGTTGTGCTTTCAGATGTCCTTCTTTTAAACTTCTAATATATTCGTCACATTTCGCATATCCTGCTGACAACAACGCTGACTTTTCCTTCAATAACGCTTCACCCGGACGTACATCACCAATACCTGGCAACGAATAAATGATCACTTATTTAGCATTTAATCAACTTTATTCACGATTTCTACTGCTGAAATCAAAGGCTAATTTCCAAAGATTATTTGATTTTTTCAGAATCGATTTTCATTACGAAATATGTGAACAAATTCCTCTATCACCATCAGAATTTAACCTCGCGATTATCAAACTGACTAATAAACATAACAAACAAATTAACAGAATTCGTCAAGAAAAGGACACTCCCTAGTTATTATCAAATGCGATCATCGTATTCAAGTTCGATTCTATCAAAAAAACAATTGGTAAACGAGTGCAATGAAAGTGTAAGATTGAATTACCAATCGAGAATCCGCGATTGCTGAGATAAACCGGTGCCATTCTCGCAAGTCGCCACATTGCATCAACGGCTGCATCTTCACCAAAATCCCTCAGCAACATATAAAAAATATTCGTCTTACTTCCAGAACCAAGCAGAGCTTTATCAAGTACACCGCAAATCAACACGCTATTTCGAATTATTACATATGAGTCCTTAAATTGACCTGCATTAGATTATTATACGTTATGTATATCATATAATAATACATTATAACTCTACTATATGACTAATTATTTATGATGCGATTATTGTTCTAAGTACCGCCATTAAATTATTGCACAATCTACTCGAAAATTTTCACGATGAATGAATTCTTATTTCACATATATGTTCATTCAAATGAACATTTTTTTTGACAATTAAAACATTTTCTATCGTATCAAATGGAGCAAACACAAACAAACCTTCACACAGAACTCTTCGTTACCAGTATAACTTTTGTTTTTGGCTGTTAAATTCAAGTTGATCTTTGAGTCAACATCCGGTCTTATAATAAGTTCAATTAACTGCAACCGAATCACTCAATTAATGGAAAATTCAGATGATTTTCATACGTTGGGAGGTGCATTATGATTTGCAACGATTAGAGATGTATAGTCCAAAATATCTTGGAAAAGGGACATATCGACGAATAACCGAACAAATGATTACCTGCTTTCCAGTCCATAATTCGAGTGGTTTACGAATTGCTGGCGGGGGTATTCGAATGCGAGTTTGTTTCTTGTGATTCGCATCAATTATCGCCGATGCAAATCTGTGCACTTCGGAACGTGGAAAGAAACTATCTTTATGGGTCATCAGATATCCTCCCGTTATAAAATCCTTCAATTAACATTGCCATAATCACAATGACTACTTTCAGAGCTGTCATGAACTCTACTACTTAAACACTATCATCAAGCCAATTCCAAAAAGAGAATAAAATCAAGCAAAAACACTATAAACATTATTTAAAAGCAGTTCCGATTCTATTTAGTAACATCGTTACGTTCGATTAAAAACAGATATCATATAATATTTCTAGTTAGATAGTAGAATAAAAGAGTTGGGATGCAAGGAGCGTGAATAACGAAATGGTTATCAATGAAGGTTACTTGTATAGCAGCAACGAGAGGTTCACCCGAACGGGGCGTTATCAGATTGCTTTTAACACTCATCAGCAAAGACGCTTCAGCACGCGCTTCGTATGTTTGTGGTACGTGTAAATTCATTTCATCACCATCAAAATCGGCATTGTACGGAGTGCATGCACACTCGTTGAATCTGAATCGTTTTCTTTGTAAATTTCTTCTTTGATTATTTGTTATTACTGANTGAGTCAATACTCCAACCGAATCAAATATTTGCATTTTCGATTAAACAAATTGATTGGGTGAATAAAAACAATATCAACAATATGAAACTTTTCATTCGAAAACTGAATCTATCACAGTCGTTTCTCGAACTAAGTTGAAAATAGAAAATTTCTACCGAAATGTTCGTCCAGGTACAATTTTCGCTCGATGTGACATAATTGAAATTTTATGTAGAGACGGTTGGCGATTGAATAAAACCACATCGTTGTCATCCAGATGCCTTTCCACAATATCGCCAACCTTCAACTGTGCAGCCGTTTGCTCACGATTACCGTATCTGAATTCATTAGAGTTGTCTCATTACCTGGCTCGTATTCGATTTATTTCAATAGCAATATAATATTACTGAATAACTTGCGTTGTATTATCATTTTCAGCATTACAATTCGCATTATACACTCGCTTTTATGGTTGATATCATGGATACAGTACAACTGAATCCCTTATACATTGTTTTATCTAAGCTAAGAACTGATCTATCATTGAGCACGATAATGGCGAATATTGTAAATGTAGTAGATCTTTCGGACCTTACTTGTTTTGCAGTGAATTTAGCGTAGGTCATGTTTACATAAACGTAAGTAACATTAAATGTGAAAGAACGTTCATAATGCATTAATTTCATCTAGTTTCTGCGATGGTGCAGTCATATGCAGCATTCATTTCATAAGTTATGCTTCATGAAATCTAACGAGTCCAAGTGTCATTCACAACTGCAACTTCATCAAATATTCGTTTTCGTAGGAATTCGATAGGTTTGATTACCTCAAAAATTTCTTATTTCCCGTCGTTCTCTCAACGATATGATTTGCACCCGGATGGATGTCATCGCCATTTATAACTAATTTACGCATACGTTCCATATTTGATTCGTTCACAATTTCAGGAAATGTTAATATTTTGGCGACGTAAATTGGCACACCAACTTGATCGATACGCAGATTCGGATCTGGTGATATCACCTTAACTCAATTAAGCATTATGCTTATTTAACGGTCAGGTATGGATATCGCATATACAACTGCATATGTACAAGGAATATATATATATATATATATATATATATATATATATAACTATATAT